GAAAACAAAGAGCTGCTTGTTCTTTGAAAAGTGTGTGTGCGTTTGTTCATGCGTGTGTTTCAGCGTGAGAAATGCAAAGTGTGGCGTGTGCACGTCCTGAAATGGTCAATGTGAGACTTGAGAGCCCTGTAGCTGTTAGCTGTTAGCTGTTAGCTGTTAGCTGTTAGCTGTTAGCTGGTGCTCTGACTCACTCTGTCTGACTGTTGACTCAAGCGTCTGTTCTGTTTTGTGCTGCTGAACATTTCCTTCAGGTTCAGCTGAGTTCTGAAACTCTTGCTGAGAAAGACATAAATGAGAGGGTCCAGACAGATGTTCAGGACCGACACGAGGACAGACGCCTCCTTCAGGTAGTTCATCAGCACAGACCGATGCTCCCGCAGGAAAACGTAGGGAACTTGAAGCAGGTGGTATGGGACGAAGCAAACACAGAAGACGATGACCAACACTGAGATGTTCCTGCGGGACTTCACCAGCTTCTTGGAGCTGGAGGAGGTCAGCTGAGTCTGCTGGGCCTCCAGCACCCTGCGGGAGGCGCTGCAGTAGAAGAAGACCAGGGAGAAGAGCACCGGCAAGAAAATGATGCCGKGAGTGATTTGGAAGAAATAGTAGAACGGTTTGACGTGTTCAGTGAACGAGACACAGGATGTGGGGGCTGAGCCCAAAGGTTTGTGGGTAACGAGCACCAGGATGGTGTACATGGTCACTGGGACCAGGAGGACACCCCAGGTGGTCTTTGAGATGATGTGAGCAGCTCGCGGAGTCATCAGGAAGTGACTCCTCAAAGGATAAAAAATCTTTATGAACCTGGAGAGGAGAACAAAACATCAGTTCAAGATCATTTTAAWGATTTCTGACGTTATTTAACACTTTTTAGAGTCACTTATTTCCATTATAAAACAGTAAATGAAACGGTTATCCAAGCAGAGCGCTGACAGAACCTGTCCAGGAGACCTATCAACGTTTTTAGATAAAATATCGATTCAAAGCCCAGATAAACACTAGTCATTAGATGATTTGAAACTTATTAAATGATAAACTGTACATGATTTCCTACAACCCAAAGAATTCCACAACAATCACAGTTAACCAAGCATTTAGTGGAAATAACGTCGATGAAACTTTGCCCTGACATTAAAGCTGCTCACAGCACTACCTGTTRGCAGCGATGTAGCCCATGAACAGGATGCTGGCGTACATGTTCAGGTATAAGGCACATGCTCCAACGCTGCAGTAGAGCAGGCGAACGCTGAAGGAGCAGCTGCTGTAGTTGGCGATACGGAAGGGGAGGCTGAGGCAGAGCAGGAGGTCAGAAGCCGTCAGGTGCTTCAGGTAGATCATCCAGCTGCTGGACACATGTTGACGAGCTCCACAGCACTGGAACCACATGGTGAAGCTGTTCAGGACCAAACCCRCCTGAAACCAGGACAGTTTTCAAACATATTTCACAAATACTTTCATTCACACCACAAAATATTTTATTATTGTTTCGACTTTGGTCCAACATAAATCTACAACTGATTATATTGTTTTATAGTTTAGTTTAAAAGACATGATTGACATGAATGTTTAAAGATGTAGTTTATTTTTAGACTTGGGCTGAATGATGTTAGGAGAACCTGCGATGTCGGATAACAGAGCTTAATACTGAGAAATGAACAAATACATAAATATATAGTGTTGATTTCATTCTGCTCTGGGTTCAGAGCTAAAATAAATAAATAAATAAATAATATTTATTCAAGCATGAATTTTTAAAAAGTATGAAGAGATCCATCCAATTTGCCAAAACCATTAAAGGCTCCGTCTGACTGGTGAAACGCTTCACTTAAATGCAAACTTTTGAGCCAACCGTTTATCGCAGTTCATGCAGTATTTTGTGATGTGAATATTACACAGGCTGTTATCACCATGGTGATAAATGTTTCATATATTGAGCAGACCTAATTAAAGCATTTATGTTTATTTGTTGTTTCCTTTCAAGTATTTGACTGTTTGTGTTCTTACAGGCAGCAGGTACAGGTCAGGTCATTTTTCTTTAGCTTGATTAATTTTGCACATTCGTGTCGTCACATTTGACTAAATGTTGTGTTTATGCTGAGTCATTTTCTTTTTTATGCAATTAAATTTAATTATGTGGCTTATTGTCCTGCCATAATGTCACTTCCATGTTGTTTACTGAGTAATAATTAGTTTACTGAGTAATAATTAGTTTACTGAGTAATAATTAGTTTACTGGAAAAGTGTTTTACTGAACACTTCATGTTCAGTGTTGCCATTTGGCTCCTAATGATCTGACAGAGTAAATACTTAGTAAATTGTTAGTAAAATATTAGTAAATAGTAAATTCTTAGTAAAATGTTAGTAAATTTTTAGTAAATAGTACAGTATATGAAGTAAAGTTGGTCCCCTGGTGTTGTACTGTGA